TGTTCTTATCAAATTTGGACCATTTCTTGATTTATGCGTGTCATCCTTGCACAGGGGTCATGCTAATCTTCTTTTTCTGTATCTTTCCAATTTTAATGGATGTCCCGAAGAGCCTTTTGTTTTTTGTCAATATGAGAAGTCCTTTCGAAATTGCACAATAGCATGCAGCTTTTCCCTATTTGTGGATTGGCCTACGTTTGCTGAGACACCTGGCTGGGCAGCTCAGTGACTCGCGCGGGGGTCGTCTGCCTGGGTCAACTTGAGCATGTTGAAGTCTGTGGGGTCTTCTAGTTGGATTTTTGTTTTTCTTCATTTTTTTGGTGGTCGGTGGGGTGTTTCTGCCAACTTAAACGAGTCCGAATCTGGGCTCCCTTTTCGTTTCATTGCTGTTGCAGAATGGGGTTCGGAAGTGGTGTACGTTAGTTTGATTTTTTGTTTCTTTAATTTTGTTTTCTATCTTCGATTCAATGCGGACTTCTGCAGTGAACCTCAGTCAAATTTGGTTGCATTGCAATCGTAGTATTGTTATACGACTTTTTTTTTTTTTTTTTTTTGGGTTTCCAATTTTCCAGGACATGTCATTTTTGCGTTTGGGCTGCCCAGGACTTCACCCGCCAGGAATTCCGGGCAGCAGGCGTCCTATAGGATTTGGTGCACTGCACTGCACTGCAAATTCTGCAAGTGCGTTTTTCTTCGAAAGATGCTTTAGTCAGATTTTACTGTGTACGTGCCTGATGGTTAAATGGTACACAGTCTGAACTGTTAAGTTCTATTTTTTCTTTCTGCTGCACAAATGCACCCATCTATTGTGGGACTAGCCCCTTGCCTTGGTGCAGTGTTGCACCGCCTTGTTGAGGGACCAGGTGGTGACCAGCAGATGGCAGGTTGGAAAGGAGACTGCACCAGTGGAGGAATGACATTTGAGAATTACAGTGTACATCATGATGAAGCTTGAACAGTGATTTCAAAGCAAAGTCAGACCTCGGGACACTGTAATTCTTTTGCATTTGGAGAGACAGGATTTGAACTTTGAACCCCTACGGGTATGCGGTGCGTTTCTGTACACGATGCGACAGGAGGGTTATGGGTTCAAAGTGCAAATCCTGTTGCATTCCATGTTGTTAGGGGCTAACCCTCCTTTCAAAGCAAAGTCAGACCTAGGGACAGTGTAGCACCATGTACACAAATGCACAGCATAGCCGTACACGTGTAAAGTACAAGGCCCTCGGCCGAAGCAAGAAAAGGGCCTGCACCCGCCGCCCTAAGTGAAGGTGAGGCCTGTTTCGGAGGCCAGTATGTGCAGAATTGGGCCCCAACTTCCCCCCAAGGGTTGGTTTGTGTAGTCTCCAGGAATGTCAGGGCGCTCATGTGTGTGGAAAAACGGATTCTGCTGCTGCATCGTTCTTTGAGTTGATATAGATGGTATGTGGGCTTGTGCAGGCTGTCGTGGACCGATGGGCCCAAATTCAGAAACACTGGAAAAGGTACCATCAGATGGATGTTGTGGCGCCGCTTGGGGGCAAGGAGGTGAGTTAACATGACATGGTTGCCATGCTGCTCTTCAAACTAATGTATCGTCCATATACGAGTGCTCGACTTGTTTCTTACGTACAAAGAGAAGAGGTTCTGCTGTCTCAGATACTGAGCCCATCAGCTAAACGTGAATCTATGGAAGGCCTGAAAGATCCTCCCCCGGATCCTCTCTTTGCCTAGGCCGCCTTCGCTGGCGATGATATGTCTTTTGCTCGAGTCTTGTTGTGGACTGACTGCTGCTGCTTAGCCCCAATGTGGAGGACTGCATGGCCCTCCCGGCTCTGCGAGCCTCCATTTTACGTTCAATTCTGGACCCATATCTGCCATCCGGCCCGCCTATTGTCCTTCGTCCTTGGACCCCTCTCAAACCCAGGCTGGGTCCAAGTTGTCTCGTCTCTGAGTGGGCGGTTGAAGGTTTTGATTTGTCAGAGTTGTGCCAATCCTTCCAGATATGATGACGGCCCCTGATTTTGGCCGCCAGACCATTGATCAACCATTCCCAATTCAATAGCCTGTTGATGATCTGCTGATTCTGCTCCCACTCGGGGAACTTCTGAAGCAAGGAGCTTTGGTTCTTCCACCTGCAGCTGATTTCAGCCTCAATCAGGTCCTTCGCTGCTCTGCTCACACCGTTTCCCCGGGAATTTCTTGTGTCGTCAACGGCAATGCGGCATCTTTCCTTCCATATTATGCACAAAGTTGTGTACTTACCAAGACGAACCATTCTCTCTCTGGTTTACTCAACTGGTGGGGATGTCCGTCCACACTACCGTCTTCACCCGAATAGAACGCCCGGTAATTATCGCCGTATCTGGGCTGAAAGTTGTGCCAAATACAGCTATAATGACCGGGTGTTCTATTCGGGTGAAGACGGTAGTAGTTGGAGAGGGAGCTCAGGGAAAGAAGAGGAGAAAATTATGGACCACAGGTTGCTTGCTCTGGCCCAGTGTTTGATTGCTTCCTGGCAGCGGATGATGCACTGCAGGATGTGCTCCTTAATCTGGTTCCTACAAACTGTGCATCTGTCAGAGAGGATTCTTTGCAGGCTGGCAGTCAATCTTCTAGGAAAATAGAGCAATCAACGATGTCCAAGGATCCTTTGGCCGACAGAAGGATGCGTGTATGAGTGGAGCAGATGGAGTGTGATGACTTGCCAGTGGAAAAGGAACCTGATTGACACTCCCCAGAACTGAAAAGGAGCCAGGATCATATGATGCTGTTTTTCAAGAAAAGAAGCGGGTCCATTGTGTTGCTACGGTGGACATCGTTAGAACGAGTAGAGAGGAGATTCTATCAGTCTTGGGAGAGTGCTGAAGGGGATTGTGTGGAGCTGTGGATTGTATACTGTTCATAGATTTTGTGTGCTTCTCTCGACTCTGTGCTTTGGAAGCGGCATCATATGTGAAGGGCTTGGGCTTGAAACCTCTGGATGCCTGCCGCAGTGGCCAGTAGATTCGGGCTCAAACGTTCCCAAACGACTCACAATAGAAGGCTGGTGGAATCTGAAGTTGGTGTTGCGAGCAGAATTATGCGCATTAGAACCTTGCAGCAGGTGGCCTGAAACAATCAAAAGTACCTGCGGACTGGAACAAATAACGGACTAGCATTGCCCCTGACAAGGGTGGCGTGCACGTTGATGCAATGGACAGAGAAATAAAAAATAATGAAGGTATAGTCATGTTTCATCTGAACCACAACCACATGTTCTAATGATGTCCATCATAGCAGTTACTTGCACTCAGTGCATACTTTCCGTGTGCTGGAAACTTGGAAATCACTTTTGTCTTGTACTTTCTACCTGCTATGGGGGGTCACTGACTGTTCAATTCTTTTCATTTTGCTGGTGGATATGAACCGTACTGACGATCCCCAGAATCGGCAAGGAGTTTGGACCATAAGGACCTGTTTGTTAAAAAAAGAAAAGGATGAAAAGAAGGGGAAGAGGAGGAAAAGTTAGTGGTTCATTTTACTGAAGTACCGTCCTTGAGGTACACAATTACGCTGACCACAAAGTAATCCATATTCACCTGATTGACAAAGGTTGCATGTGTGCTGTCTAATGTTCCTACTACCGTCTTCACCCGAATATAATGCTCGGTCATTATAGCTGTATTTGGGGCACTTTTCAGTCCAGGTGCAGCCATAATGACCGGGAGTTCTATTCGGCTGAAGACGGTAGTTGGATGTGGTTACTTTCTGTCCTTGTTTCGGAAGGGTGACGACCCCTGGCCAAGTCTGGAACTAAATATTGCGCATGGTTTGCTATCTGTAACCATTTATCGCTTGCGTACCAATCGACTAATAGTGAGGAATAACCGACTTTGTATTCCTGTTATCGCTATATTTATTTGGGTGCTCCTGTTTTTGTTTTTCCTTTCGTGTGTGGATTCCAATTCCGTGGACCTCAGTCTGCAGATGTACTGGAGGAAATTACAACGGGCGCAGAAGCCGGTGCCTGCTTCGGGTGAGTGTCCTGCATCACATAAATGCATCGTCACAGCTCCAATGCTCTTGTTTGCATCTGTGGTTGTCGCTGAACTCCTGTAACACGAAAGATGCCAGCAATGGCGGCGTCCATCCGACAAACAGACTGCTAAGCCTGCTGCTGCTTAGTGCAACCTCCTTGCCTGAGCGGCAAGAAATGGTGGAGTTATGACGGCAGTCTGTTTTCATTGCCCTTGAGTCTGTGTCATTTGCTCTGGCAGTGACGTTCCGCAGTAACAATTCTGTGTCTGCAGGTCGGTGCCTATTCTTGTGTCTATTGGCGCCTATTCTCTATCTTTTGTCTATTGGTGCCTATCTTTTGTCTATTGTAGTGGTGTCTATTCCAGGGCTGCACCAGCCACCGGCCGGTTGGAACCCCGGTGGTCCAACCGGAATTCCGGTTGGGCCCAAAACCGGGTCAATTTTTTTTATTTTTTTATTTTTGATGATGGGGTTGGACTGCGCTTGTCGAGATCTCCCCGAATCCGCAGAGAAATATTGATATGCAAATTTTTGTTTCATGGGGTTGGTGGGGTTGGTGGTGGGGGGGGGGAGGGTGGAAATTCATGGGTTGAGGGTGGGCTGCATTTCGGGGTGTCCTCCTCCTTCTCCTCCTCCTCCTCTTCCTCCTCCTCATCGTCATCGTCATCATCGTCATCGTTATCATCACCATCATCATCATCATCATCATCATCATCATCATTGTCGTCGTCGTCACCGTCATCATCGTCATCATCACCATCGCCATCATCATCATCATCGCCGCCGTCGTCGTCATCATCGTCGTCACCATCATCATGATGTCATCCTTCGTCGTGGTCACCATCATCATGATGTCATCCTTCGTCGTCGTCATCACCATCATCATAAAGTCATCCATCATCATCCACTGTCCATATCGTCACCTACGCACCGGCTACCCTCTGCGCTCTCTCACTACTTTGCTCTCTCTCTCTCTCTCTCTCTCTCTCTCTCTCTCTCTCTCTCTCTCTCTCTCTCTCTCTCTCTCCGTGCGCGTGCGCCCGTTACCCCCTGCGTGCGCCCACTACTTTGCTCTCTCTCTCTCTCTCTCTGTTACATACTTCAATGAGTATGGGCAGAACCAAAGATCAACATATGTAGCATGAGCATATATGCAGCGGAAGTCTGATAAACGGACTGACTCACATAGACTGACTCATAGAATTACTCCACACACATACAATCGTGAGATGGTGGGGTCTGGGCCAAGCATGGACGATGCCCAGATCCCGTACACACATACACAGATGAAAGGTGGGAGGAGAGACGAAGGAGGCGGGGGAGGTAGACAGCACCGGTAGGTCACTGAGATAGAATCCGATAGGTCACCGATATGGTAGTACAAAATGTCATCCAACAAGATCAAAATGTCGAGGACAATCAGTCACCAACGTCGAAGATACAGAGTCCCAATGTAACCGGTGTCCGAACTGTGATGCCACCAAGTATCAACCCCAACAATCTCCAAGTCTCCAATCCGGTAAGTACCACA